CGTACTGTTTACATTTTACGGTCTTGTTATCATTCGCACGATGATACTCAGGGAACAAAATAGTGATGCGAAATGCTTCGTATATTATCGAATTCTCTTTCATAACGTGATTGCGATTAATATCGAAAGATAATTCGCTATGATTATTACACTTAATGATTAATTAACTTATAACAACATTCCTAAGGTTACTATATCACAAACTTTTATTTATTTTAATCTTTTGATCTTATGATTCGTATTATTGTGCGTATATCATATGTACAATATATATATATAACATATATATATATATATATATATATATATATATATATATATCAACAATGATAGCATTTCTATACGAGTGGAGTCTGATTTTAATCACATGTAAATATAGAGCGAATCATGTATTTTTCAAATTGATATTAGATATAATAAAATATCGTGTATATCTCATGTGATTATTCCGCGACCGGAAGTGCTGTGCAAAATGTTCCACGTACTTAAAGTATTAATATAATTTATAATTTATAATAGTTTATAATTTTTTCGCGAGTGTAAGTGCTATGAGGAAACAGTAAAGGAGAAGAAAAAAAGATTCGGAAAAGCATCGAGCTATATATAGACGAAACAACGGATATGCACAGTAAGTAATTTATATTTGTAATATTTTATATTTGATATTCAATCTTTACAAAATGTAACTCATGGTATCCCTTTTCTAAATGCGATCGTGAAGTATCAGGAAATAATTTGTTATGCTTAATATGATTGATGACTATCTTTTATTTACGTTAAATAATAAATATATCGCGAGATTATATATTAATAATAAATATATCGCGATTTCAAAGAGCGTATTTCCCATGGTATGTTCATTTAATCAATTGACAGAATCAAACAAGAATCATAATGACACAATGTGATAGGGAATTCCACGAGACATGTCGAAAAAGGAAAGATAATTTATTGAGAGAAGGCAAGAAAGCGATACATCCTGTAGAATAGCGGGATTAATATGAAGTAAGAATTCGCGCATCCCGTCGCGAATGCATTTATTTTATTCGCAAAAATACACCGCTCGGCGTCTGAAGGTCGTTTCTAAATATCGTCGAATAAATCACAAGAGGCAAACTACATCCCAGCGAAGCTACTGATATTAATTGCTCGTCTACGGAGATAAACTATTTATCTCAACGATTAATAAAAAGTCCAATTCCTCGATGTAAATTCGTTACAAAATTTTACTATAAAATTAATTTTTTTGATCGCACTTGTGATAGTATATAATAATGTCATAGTATTGCTTGATTTAAAAAAAATATTGCATAAAAAGGACGGTGAAACAGTTAAATATAATGAGATTCAAAAAATTTTTAAATATAATGGGGAATCGTTAAAATAAATTTACAGGCAATGAAGAAAGCGAAGAAACGTTAGGCACTCGCGGAGCATATCTTCAAAATATATTCTTTTAACGTAAATTGATTGTGTATCAATATTTATCGTTTTTAGTTTTGTGTAAGATATATTAAAAATTGTTAACACTAGTTTTGTATATCTGCTTTAATTTATATACCTTTTAATTATATGTTTTAATTGTAAATGAATATAGATTCAGGCTTTATTATTCAGGATATATTTAAAGGAAAAGGAAAGAATATATAGACAATAGTAAAAAACGTAACTAAAATAAATCAAACTTGTGTTTAAGATAGAGGAAAATAAATGTTATTAATGATAAATGTTGTCATAAAAGTCTTCATAAATGTTATTAAATTATTTGAAGTTTAACTTATTTTCTGTCATTAATTCTACTTAAGAAAAAAGTCTATTGAATCTTAATCTTAGTCTTTGAATCTATTTTTATTTTACATTTTCTTATATTTTATATTTAATTAATTCTCATTTTCAACTTATAGAAACAACTCGATGTGAAGACATAGATGAATTTTCGTGATTTTTCAAAAAACTCTGAATGAGGAAAAGTCCTTTTTTTATCATTCAGATCGTGAAGATTTTTAAAAATATGCTTCGCAAGGCCTTTGATTTTTCGAACGACATCGCGCACGCATTTATGCGTAAAAAATTCCGATATAAAATCTTTTTTATTTAACATGAAATATATAACAGTACTGTTATGATGTCACAAACACCACATATACGTATATATACATTACACACATATTTGCGGCGCCATTCGACAATCAGGAAATCTCGCATCCTCCGATGTTTTGCTAAAGAGAATCCTGAATCGGTATCGATCAAACGATTGGTCTGACGCCTAACAGCAGAATTATAATCTGCTGTTCGAAGAAAATTTATTTGAAATAAATTATTTCTATTCATCTCACTTCTAAGCTCTCTCCTTCAATACGACAAAATGATAGATCGCTCTTGCGAATAAACAGAAAAATTTCTTACAATCCGTATTTTTTCTATCTTTTTCGCAAAGCCAAGATCGCACGTGTTAGATTTTTTTCCGAAAAAAAAGTCGTTTACATAGCCATGAAGAAAAGATTTATGGATTTATCCGTTATATTTATCATTTCTTAAAAGTGTATAATGTAATTATAAAACATTTAATTATGATTTAATTATGTAGTTTAATTACATACAGTTAGGCTTAAATTTGAGGATTAAAAATGAGAAAGATTAAGTGATAATTCGCTCGTAAGAGACGAAGGAAGTAAATTACGAACCGATTATGAGTGTCATGACTCTTATGAAAATGACTAGTTGCTAGTTAAAGATAAGTAATTGTCGACTTGGTGACTAAGATGTGAGAGAAATTTTTATGCATCAGAGTAATAATACTCCGTATCGGTGTCATCTCTCTCGAGAAACATCAGTAATGTTCATATTTACGTGTTCGTGTAGCTGTCTACACATGTCTCCCGTACGGCAAGGTCGTATGCAAGGCCGATGTGCCACGATTTATTTGTGTGGATGAGAAACCGAAAGAAAACTCATAGCTAATTGTGTTTACTATCATAATATAAAGAACTATCAGATATTAGTCATCAGATATTCAATTAAAACTTGAAATTTACTGATTCGTCAAATAATAAGAATGACATATGTACACTGAGAAAAAAGTTGTTAATTTGACTAAACTGTTCAATTAAATTATTTTTTTAATTGAAATATTTAAATATTTAATATTAAATTAAATAATACATTTAATACAATTAATTTAATATTAAATTAAATACTACATATTAAATCTAACATGACATCTATTTAACTTAAATATTTATATATTTCAATTAAAAAATAATTTAGTTCAATTAAAAAAATAATTTAGTTAAATGGTTTAATCAAGTTAATTTTTTTCTCAGTATATATGTGTGTATATGTTTTGTTACCTTTTTTCTGCGATGTTGATCATTTCGATGCTGCGCTGTGGATGTGCATTGCTTCATACAAATAAAAGCCTATCATGGCTAAGACAATTCAAATATTAAATATATGTGTAATCTTAATTCAATCGATTTTGAACAAAACAGAGCTAGTATTAATATCTAAGTGTGTACATATGTGTGTGTGTGTGTGTGTGTATATATATATATATATATATATATATATATATATATATATATAATTTAGATTTATTAACTTTAGCTCCCCGCTCTTCTTTAGAATCAACCGAATTAAAATGATACATAATTAATATTGAATAAAGAGGAAACAATACTTGTGAATATCAACTTAACATACCTTTTTTAAGAATCGATCTAAAAATTCTCATCTTAAAAAAATGATGCACGTGTATGTACTTTATTAATTATCAAAAGAGTTATAATTCAAATAATATGAATAATCGAATTTCAATAATACTTTGTAGCGATATCTGGTCGATATTCGATTTAAATATCGAAAAATGTAAATCAGGTACATAAGTTAAATGTAATTTAAAATTAATCTAATAGACATCGATTTAAATAAATTTGTGTTTTATATCCTCGAGGAATCTTGTTGATGTCAATCTGAATAATATCAGAGAACTGTAAAATGTTAACTCGGCGCCAAGTAGTCGGACAATGTTACCGGCTTTATAGAGATTAATTAGGTATTTAAATTAATTTTTCGAAGTGTTCAAATTTTTTGATCCCATTACACTAGATTTATGATCGACCATCAAAGATCTTGAACATTTGTCATGCAAATTTAATTTGGAACAATTGGAATTCAATCAAACAATTTCTCTATCTTTTCTAGAGATCTCTTTCAAGAAAATAAAATACTCTTCTCTTGTGTTATCATATAAAATCTTATATTTTTTCATCTCATCTTACATCTTAGAATTTACGTTGTAATTTTTTATAAAAAAATTAGATAAAAGAAAAAAATAAAAAATTTAAATAAGCAAATGATCTTTTTAAAAAGAATTTACAATCATTATCTTTTGAATTATGGAATTACTAAATAATGCGAGAAAGAATACCTCATTTGCACTTACGTACAAATCGAGTGCCTCAAAGACGAGATCGTACATAGAAGGATAAGAAATTGTTAGATGCTCTTTTGAATATTTTCTGGATTTTAATAAAATTCGGGGTCAATATTTATTTTCTATGCGCGATAAATAGAAGAGAAACCATTTTCTTTTTTTTTTGCTACACAATGTTACGTTACTTTTTTGAGGATTTTAAATGTTATCTTTGATGTGTCGTTGATAAATGTGGATGGAATAAATTGCAATCAATAAACACAACATATAACAGGTATCAGACGTCCTCCTCTTCTTTTCTACATAACTCGCTCTCTTATATAAGTGCGTAGTTTATCGCTCAGTAAACTACGCATAGTAAAAATCGGTGACTAAAAATTCAGTAGATATTTTAGTTAATATGATCAACAATAAATCGCGATCTACATTTCGTTATGGTGGACAGCATATACAATTATGAAACTATGAAGTCTTATATGACAAGATTATTTAGAAATATAGACATGCTCGCTTAAAAACATATATTATTATATTGTCATGAGAAATAAACACGCATATTGTATAATATAAAAATATATTTTGTTTGTAAAACGCTTATAATAGCTATTCGCTTCTAAAATGTATCGAATTCAGTGTAAATAACGCATTGTGAATAATGCGTATTAAACAAGTCACAAGTAACAAACTTTTAAAATATATAATGACAGTTCATTCTTTAACATGTTCATACATCATGTCTCAATTATTTTTTTCTAAAAGAAACCTTTTCCGTATTAGCGCAATAATACGAATATTATTTATACATCACACATAAACATTTTCATTATTGTCAAAATCTTTTAAATACATTTAACAATTCATAATTTTCTTTCATCACAATATCACTTTATATTTAACGTCTTCCATAAGCATGATTGGACTGATGCTCTAAAAAATCAACAATATCATTTTGGGGGAATAAAGAAAATAATAATAAGACTTACCTTTGTAAAATTCTCCCAAGAAATTTACGTCAGGCAATAGGGAGTGAACCTTTTTTAGAACTGTAGCTTTTGATTGGAAAGCAGCATTAATGTTCCAAATCTGAAATGATAACAAACAACTTTGATTGTATTTCTTATATATTCTTGAATAATACTGTAATTTATTATTTAATGCATGATACATACTTGAATAAGATCTTCCCTATCGCGAATGGACACAGTCACTCCACAAACTTCATCATCTTGTGCTACATGCGTAGTAAACTGTTCTCCAATAGCCGCAAGCACCACTTCTTTCCAGACACGTTCCTGAAAAATATGAAACATTTTAAATATTAGATTGCTATACTTAAAAGTTTTATAAGAGCAAAACGTCGATTATCTGAACAAGGTAAAAGATAGTAATATTTATTATTAATTATTTATATAAAACTTTCAAATAAGTTCAAAATAAAATGTTAAAAAAATTTATAAATAATACAATAATACTTTAACATAAATTAAGAATTCCCCATTTAAAAATGTATATGTATTTAAACAGCAATTTCACTAAAACGAATTGAATAATCAATGTCAGCATAAATATAAGATATTTACAGTATCGCATTTATGGCATTTTATTCTCCAGGTCCCACCCTTTTGATTCAGTTTATCTTCCCATAAAGGATATCTCTCATCTCTCATTAAGTGGTAACTGTATCTAACCTGACAACAAAAGCAGTTAAATAACTTATTGTAAAATATGAATAACAGTTATAAATAATAAATAAACCATATATAACATAATTAAATATTAAATAGCATAGCATAAATAAGTAATAATAAAATTTATATCAATTACAAATGATTATTAATCGTAATAATTTTTCTTATTTCAGCAAATAATATAAAATAAAAGAAAAAGAGATAGAGAAGGAATTTTGCTGTCATAGCAAAATTATTCATCAATCAGTTATTGTATTACATGTTATTGTATGTTCATTATGAGAGTGGTCACATTGTCACATATAACTTATTATTTAATATTAAACCCTATTTTGTTGATAAAATTCTGCAGAATAAATATGTTTAATATATATATATATATATATATATATATATATATATATATATATATATATGCATGAAATATATAAATTTGTTGCTAAAATAAAATAGTTTATTTCTACCACATAAATACTTATTATTATACTTTGCTATTGCAATAAAGCAAATTCATTATTTTAATAAAGATATAAGAATCAATTTGTTATAGAGAAATAACTAGCAAATTCAGTAAAACTATTTTCAGCAATTAAATTAGTAAGTAGTTATTATTATTTTGCGATAACAAATCTTTTCCTATTTTTCATATAATAATTAATAAAAAAAGTTATAATTAATGTGCTACTTTAGAAACAGTAGCTACTTGAAAAGCTACTTAAAAAGTTAAGAAAAATATGCTATTTAATTAATTCATATTTTCTGTACATGAATTTTTATTTATCATACCTGCATATCTCCAGCATTTGGTATATTATTGAAGACTGCCCAGAAGTTTTGCACAGTATTTACAGTATATATTTTCTGCAGGTTGGCTTTGTATTCTTCAGCGGTTGTGCCAGGGATAGCTCTGTTAATAATATAATTAAATTAATTTAATAATTATTTAGGATAAATATTTAATATTATACAACTAGTTCATCTTGATTACAACATATATTATTTTTTTAAATTAGTAATATATTTATAGTAACAATTTATTTGGATCTACTCTAAAACATGAGTCTCCAGATAGAAAAATAAAACTCCATTAAAACGTATCAAATTAAATAAACTAATAGAATATTTTTTTATAAACTTTAACCTTATAAAAAATAAAATCTATTAAAATAAAAATAGAATATATTAATTCAAGAAAAAAATATAAAGTCTAAAATTTATCTCAACCTAGTATTAGAATTGATTCCAATATTTCTTTTACGGAAGCAATAATTTCTGTAATTTTGATAAACAAGAATAAAAAAAGTAAAAAAATATTTTTCACATATTTCTGTGAAACCATCTACCATCTTCTCTAAAAAAATATTTTTCACACATTTCTGTGAAACGATCTACCATCTTCTCATCAATTAATCTTATCATGAAATATGTCACATGATTATTTATATAATTAAATAAATTGTAAATTTTTTTGTTTCTTGTAGAACAATAATAATACTTATATATTATTTTCATTATTAAGATATATGTAAAGAAACTTCTTTGATGATATAAGATGATTGCGAGGACAAAAGCATGATGTGTTTATAAAAATGTAACTTATTATCGTGCATTTACATATATATAAAACACATTAAAATTTACTGCATTTAAACTTTAAACAAAGCAAGATTAAAAGCGGCTTATCGACCCTACTGAAATAATGCTTTGACGGAACTTATCGCGGAATATTTGCGACGTGACGTTTGACAACAGTGGGAAAGATAAAATCGAGATGTATATTTACGTACACGCCGACAAAGCGTCACGTAGCAATGGGTTATACGAGAAAAATTATTATCTTCTCTTACTTGTCGAGCCAGAAGGTCCATGGAGTCTGCAAGGGAAGGCCAGAGCCCTCCTGTCTCTCGATCGTGCTGACGGTCTCATCGGATAAGACCGGTGTCTTCAACAGGTCCGCCGAAAGAGAAGTACTCTCCTTCGTTTCGCACTCCGCCGCGGCCATGTTTGAAACGACGATGCAGCCGCGCTATAACGTCAAAATCATGTGATCGCCGCCGCCGCCGTCGCCGCCTCTGTCGCTGTCACCGTCGCGAGAGAACTGATGACGTTTGTCGGTTGAAAACGAAGCAAATAGCAACCGACGAATGCAGATAGCCAGAATGCACACAAAGTATTCTTAAAATACTTATTTATTTTTTTTTCTTAAAGGCTACGTCATAGGCTGTAGCCTACATGATTGCATATAAAATAATGTAGCTTTTCTTATATTTGTTTACATATTTTTATACAATTAATTTCCACTATCTAAATATATAGCTGAATTAAAATATTTATAATCAAAACATTTTACTAACGTATTCTGCACTTTTATGATGAAATTCTTCTTTCGGATATTCGTGAACAAACATGTGCTTTAAAAAAGTTAAACATCAATTAGAGGATTTTGTGAATTAAAATATAATGACTTTAAATAAATTTATATATTTTAATTTAATTGATGTAGATATTGTATATACGAAAAATGAGTTTTCTAAGAAAAATCTATACAAGCTTTCAAAAAGTATTTAAAATTTTTTTAATTTATCGATTCTATAATAAATTTTTATCAGGAGACTGAAGCGAATAAATTTAAAAATAGTCAAAGAGTGGTCGAATTTATACAAAAAAGTACAATTATTCGCTAAAATATATAACATATTATAATTTATATACGTATAAATGCATATCTATTTTCAAAATGTCAAGATATGGGGATAATTTTAAATTATAAAAATCATACATTCTGCATTAAAAATTAAATATATAAATATTTAAATGAACGAATGCATAAAAATAGTTGATAACGTCAAAGTTCTAATATTATCCTTATCCATTTGATAATATAGAAATTAATATTATCGATACTTGATAAAACGGAAACTTACTCTGATGTCGTCAATAATTCCATCTGCCTGCCCAAATCGAATTTCAGCCTCTATATAAGATACGAGAGAAAATCATGTTTGTTACAAATGAATATTGAAAAAAATTATTCTAAGTCATTAATTAAGATACAAATAGATATGGGATAATTGCAAGTGGAATAAATTAATAGTTAGTTAATAATTAGTTTATTAATTATTAATAGTTATAATATTAATATATTTATTAATTATTAATAGTTATAACTATTAATAATTAGTTTATATTAATATTAGTTAATATTAATAGTTAATTAATTATTAGTTTTTGATTGTGTAGGAATGATTATTGACACAATCAAACTTGATAACAGTTTCTGCAGAAATCTTTCTCATAACTATTTATCATATACTTAATGATTTTTCCTCGTATAATAAATAAATTTTAAAGAAATTATATTTATATTAATAAATAAAAACAAATTTCGCAATTATTGCTATAAGCAATTATTATTGTTTATTTCGCATACATCACTTACGTTGATAAACCGTGTGTCAGGAAGACATTTCATGATACAAATTTAAAAAAAGTATTATTATTATTCATTACATCCCTCGAGTTAGTATTCATCACGGTGCATTACGCGCGCGATTATGCGTGTAATTGCGAGGACCACGCGATGTGCGTTCTTACGTAAAAATGTCCTCGTCTTGTGTGTTGCTGTCCTACGTGAGTAAAGACCTTTTAACAAAGACTACATGCTGATATCATTAATAATATCCGTTAATAATAGGTAAATCAGTCTATCTTAGGAAGAAGTTAATCTTCGCAATCTGCATACGTGTATACATATGTTATATTTAATGTGCGTGGGAGTAAATCTACTATATGGTTTTCATAATTACTAATAATGTGAAAGATACGTTTATGTATGTCATACCCATGCAGAATTCCCTCAAACAGATTGAATTGTAGAATGAATGCGAAAAATTCTTTATTTTTTACCGTTAAAGTCTGAAATCAGTGTCTTAATATTTTCTTTAAAAAAAATCATCAAATTTTTTTGTAGAAAATATTAACTTATCAATTATTAATTAATTAGTTTGCATTTATTTATCTAATTTTTAAATAATTGAAGATTAATAATTTTTTACAAAACTTTCTTTAAGTGCTAATACAAATAAACAAAAAAAATCATATTCTTTTCTGTTAATAACTAATAAATTTTATTTTAATAAATTTTAATTTCAAATTTAACTATAGAAATATTTATATAACATTGAATTTTTTAAAATTAAAAATGTATAAATCTTTTAAAATTAAAGATTCTATTTTTATTGTTTAAAGAAACTTACAATTTAATAAAATTAAAAAGTGTACACATTAAAGTCTGGTTGGAATAAAAAATGATAAAAATAAAGTCAGAAAAGAAATTCTAACAGACACAAGAGTCTATCATGTTCATGAAACGCTCATGCTTGTTTAAGAACTTTGGAAACATTAATGGATAATGTTAGAAATTTGAAAGTGTGACGATAAATAATTATTTTTCTTAGTATTTTTACCGAAGAAAATTTGATTTTAAATTTTTCGAGAATTATTAATACTTGCCTGATGTGGGACTGATCTCTGCTAAATGTCAATCATCACAATATTATTTGTTTCTTTTCTTCGTTCTTATCTGAAACTTGTAATAAAATAAACGAGAAAATTACTGATTAAAAATATGCAGAAAGAAAATATAATTATTTGTATTTCGCAATTATATTTTCTTTCTCTTTTTTAATTATATTATATTTTTACGAAATGAAAACATGTAGACATAATAATATCAAATTTTAATTTAAAAAATCATTTTAATATGTAAAAAATTCCATTACAAGCCCGACTTGACCGGACGTCCATTGAGTGATCAGCTGTCAGGCGATCCGAGTATTCAGTTTTAAACCTGTTCATTCTAGGACACCTTGTGTATGCGCACATACCCACGCACATTTTCCAAAGAGTATTTCCGAGCTTGGGATCGACGGTACTCGATAATATTCGTAGTCGAGATGTGACAGTGAGTGGTGATCTCTCGGTTTGTGTGTTTTCGCCTTATTTGTATATTTTATTCAGGAAATGTCTGAAAGTATTATTGCGAACAGATACCATTTTAACCGTCGTTGCTTCGCGAACCGTGACACGATTTATTCGACGTGCTAAATTTATCTCGGTATTGAAGCCGCGTGATGCATTTGCAGCTTCGGGTCATCATATGCGTGCATATGTCATGTGCAGTTGCGTGTCATGCTAAGACGACGAGTTTCTTGCATATTACGTGAGCATTTTGTCACTTTAATTCTTTAACGAATTGTACTTGCCATATCGACCATTGCATATAAGAAACTTGATTTAACACCCGATTTATTCACTAAATAAACAATGATTAACGATCCAATAATTATTCTGACAAGAATCAAATAAAAGATTTCAAAATATAACAGAAACTATTATCTTAATTACTTTTCGATAGAATCAGTAATTTTACTTAAAAAAAACTTTATGCATTTTATATATCTTTGCGCGAAATAAAATACGTAAAAGTGATAAAACACGAAAAACGCAGAATAATTTAAAGCACATACTATACTTTGCTGAAGAAGAAATCTAGATAAAAACAATTATAATTAAGAGTAAATGTTCTTTTGTTTATATAAATAATTTGTAATTCTTATTTTTATATTTGAATTCGATAAATAAATCTTTGATCGATTTATTATTTTTTTGTCGCATTATAGATTTTGATTAGATCTCTTTATCTTTATTCTATCTTTAGCTTTATGCTTGTTAATTTTGATAAATAATTTTAATTTGATCAAAAATACCAGGAAATAAAATCAATTTTAATTTAAAAATTTTTTATCCGATATATAATTTATTAATAATTATTATATTTATACTTTTAAATATTGTATGTTAAAAAAAATTGAAATTTCATCAAAAGAGCAAAATATTTGAAAATATTTGAAAAAATTTCTCTATCAGAGATCTTCTCTTTTTATAATCTAAAAATTTTATAGTCTGAAAATTTATAGTCTAAAAATTTTTTCATCAGAATATTAAATACAATATGTTGTCGCATTGTTATGTATATTTCTCACATGTCCCGGTACGTTTGTCCAGTCGTCTCATAATTGAAAGTCTATACATTTGTATTCCACTTTTCAATATCATTCAATTCCTGCGAAGGTCAATTGTATTAGATAAAAAAAGCGAATTTTACTGAAAAAATCAAATTCTCGTTACAAGCAATTATTGGTAATTATCATACTTATTGTAGTACATTCAATAAAACGCTACAGAACAATACAGAAGATGAAATTGTAAGTAACATTTAAATATTTGTATGCTGTTTTTCAGTCTCATTTATCAATTTTCATAAAGGTAGATCATAGTATTATGTATTGAAATGAGCTAAAATTTTATGAAGAAACATAATATTTATTATATATTTAATAATTTATATGTATAAATACATGTGTGTGTACTATTATAATTATTATAGAATAATACCGAGAAATATTTAAAAAATAGTCTCAATTTGCATTTTTAATATACAATGTTGAATATTTGGAAAAAAAGAAATATATATTTTATATATTTTAAATGTTCAACATTATATATTAAAAATGCAAATTGAGATTTTTTTCGAAAGGTTTCTATCTGTAGTATTTATTAGCTTAAAATGGAACTTAATGGAAAAAACGATCTATTGATATTTTTGATTTGATCAGTTTAAATTTAAATTACATAAGACAATAAATATAAAAGAAATATATATATATATATATATATATATATATAAAGTAATTTTTATAACAGCTTACATTAAGTGTATTTAACATATGCGTGAAATGAAAATACTTATCGAATTCTTACTAAAATAATAAAATATAAACTTTTTAAACATTCTTTTTATTTTTATATTTATTCCATTGTTTTACTCGTCCTAGCTTGCATATATCATTTTAAAATAATTACTTGTAATCATTAACATGGTTATCATATAGCTTCATGCAGCGCTGCATGTCAAATCATATAATTAGCATTAATTATCACTTTAAAAGACCACCATGTCAAACGATTTTAAAATGTTGACTCAGTCATGTGTGTACAATAGTCACAATGAGTCTTCCTGTCGAGTCCTTACATTTCGCTTGTTCATGATTCATGTGGAAGAAGCTATTGGGCTTCTCTCATGAAAGTACGATGCCAGCCAATGCGTATAACTACCAACGCGTGCACAAGCTAGTCCTGAACTATTGTTGGCGTCGGAAGTGGATCTTTCTGATTGCGTTGATTTCGTGTGTCATTGTTACCGTACTTTTCACGAGATATCCAACTGTTCACGAGGCAAACATTGCAGAACGCGACACATATCTGGACGATGTATCCGAAGATTTTTACCAAACTGGTGAGAATTTCTGTAAATTTTCTTCTTTTCCTATGAGTCTCGTGACAAGAGTAATAATCTTCTTCTTGTCGCTATTACAGTGCTACAAACTTGGTATAACTTTTCCACCGGTAAGTGATTCTAATAAATTATTTGGAATTTATTTGACGATATTTATTAAACAGACGTATCTTACTAATGAAGAAAAAGAATGAGTCTCATCTTTTTTATTGCTTTAACAAATACAGTTTATATGTATAATAAATGATACGATAATGATATTTAAAAAAGAATTTTTTTCCGAAATGGTCTCCTTATTAATGAAGAAAAAATTAACCAAATAAATGTCGAATTAAAATTAGATATTGAAAAATTTCCTGTTACTATATATTATTAATGCATGTATTGATCATTGCATTCCTCAGTCTAATTAGCGGAATACGACCCACGTGTATATTCATGGAACAATCCTATATAATGTGATAATCAAATCTACGATTTGTTATTCTGTGCTCGTTTGTATTATGCAAATAACAACTTCCTATGATAGTAATATTTATTAACAAGATATTCGAAATATAAAATGATAAATAAGTTATATCTATTATTATATAAGCAGGTATTATATAAGTAGCTATTTCGAATCTTAATAATGATTGTCTTTATTAATAGCACAAATTTCATTAATGAAAATACAGATAATTTTGAATTATATATGCGCATAAATATTTTTAACATAAATATTTTAACATATATTTTTATGTTTTATCTAAATATAAATATTTCTCTTTGTTAATTAAATAAAAAAATCACTGAATATATTTTTTAGAAGACATTAAACTATTGTTCAGCATTATATTTATATAATAAGATTTATTTTATTTCATGATTTATATCAGTTATAATATGATTAAGCACGTTGCATAGAATTATGTAATATGCTGTGGTTTTTGCTCATCTGTGAAATATTTATTTTCCAAAAAAATAATCTGTTTAAAATTTGTTTAAAAAATAATGTTTGTTTTTGTGTGACGCAAGGAATAATTTATGAAGATTTTAATTGGTTGAGCAAAACAAAATATTTTTTATGTAAATTACATAAGTTTCTCTTTTTTGCTCGTATTTTTGAATTATTTTGAAAAAAAGTATATATATATATGTAGTCATATCTTGTAGTAATAGTTATGTATTGCATTATATTATCATGCATGTATTATATTATAAAAGTCAAAAAAATGCTATATTATTATGTTATTACTCCGAAATTATAAAGTAAAAGTTTTAATGTAAAAATTAAAGTCGTTTATCATTTAAAATGCTGTAATTTTTAGAACATTTTCATTTTTTTGGAATAGATAACTTTAATTATAATATATTAATAGTAATTCCATTAATTTAGCAATAATAATATTCTTATTTTAAATAGTAATGTAGATATTTTAGATAGTAATATACTAGATTTAGATATTATGGAATATTTGCATTGCATTTCACACATGTCATATTTCTATTTTAATTAATACCTGAAAAATAAATTTTTAAAACTAATCAATGATTACTATTTAGGTGAAGAATGGTATAACAAAAAAAATATATCCGCACTGAATCCACAAACTTATAACGATCTATTGACGAATATTCGACAGAATTGGATAATATGGAATTATAATTCGAATGAATCGTATATTCTTCAAGAACCAGATGTCAAAGATCCATCAATGGGACAATCGACTGTGATACGCGAAATTTTCAATGATAAGGTAGTAAAATAATTATAATAATTTAATGGAAAATGCAAGAGAAATTTCACAAGACTACAAAATAACTCAACGAATACACGGTATTTAGGCTCGACCGAGAGAATCTCTTTGCGCATTAATAAATACCAAATTTCACTTATTACTCTCTACAGAAAAATGGATTTTTCATAGAATGCGGTGCATACGACGGAGAAACGCGTAGCAACACATTGTTTCTGGAGCGATTTAAAGGATGGTCGGGTCTTCTCATAGAAGCGGATCCTATCAATTTTACAAAGATGCTTCAGAAAAACAGAAGAGCTTATCTTTCGCCGACGTGTCTCAGCGTTATTAAAAGCCCTACGGTGGTAAGGAATAATAATCAACTTGTCATGACTTGTCATCATTAACGATGACTTTGGAACAACGTTATCAGTTGTGAAACCCGAGCTTTGACTTCTTAGTACATATTAAAGATGTTACTCAAACTCTAGAACAGTTGCTCGAGCTTCAGAATATTACGCGAATTTCGATGGAAAAATGTAACAAATTTCTTATTAAAATTTTGAAATTGTAGGCATCTTTTCTCATGGCAAGGAACATAGGCCATTTGCATGAGCCTGAGAACACAACGGAAAATGTACCCGCGAATACACTCGATGTGGCTTACATGGGCGAACATATCCGCGTGCAGTGTTTTCCATTGATACTGTACATCGCTGCATTGAAAATAAAGACAATCGATTATTTTAGTCTCGATATCGAAGGAAATGAGATTGACGTGCTAGAAACAATCCCTTTTAACGAGGTGGATATAAAGGTACGTATATTTGATGTAACCTATTCAGAAATTTCTGTTTGAGCAACTGGATTTATTCGCCACACCTTCGACGAGTGTTATTCCTTCCGTTTCTACAAATGAAATGTAATAATAATTTCCGCGGCATACTGATTAACATACAATGTACGTTTACGTTTTAGGCTCTGTCTGTGGAATATATACACAATCCGAAGGGCCAAAAATATTTGATTGATATGATGGAGCAGCGGGGATACTACGTTTATAGTTTTGTGAAACAGATGGATAACTTGGCAAATGATATTATTTTTGTAAAACGCAATATGATGAATGAGAATAGATGAAATAAAATCTCTAGATCTTCTTTCATTAAATAGAAGAATTATCTTTCTATTTAATTTTTTATATCCTAGTCATAATTGTAATTATGTATTATTTCTCATGAAATGAAGGCATATTGCAGATAAATGAAAAAATATTAGATTGTTAATAAAAACATTGTATTATACAAGATATTTACAAAAAAATTATATATATCTTTCTAATAAAATTAATTATTTTCTATTTACAATCTATGATTCAATAAATAACATAACAATAATCGCAATAATTATTTTAATAATTATAAATAATAATTATAAATAAACAGGAATAAACTAAGTTATACAAATAGGAACTTATGATTATATGATACATTGATCATAATTTTATTTAACAGAAATTAACCGTATTTTGTTTCACAATTCTCTCGATCAACTTTTTTTCATTTAACTGATTATTATACACATTTCACGCTTTTAATATATTTTATTGTATTATGAATGTGAATTTGAACTTATGTTTATTATGCAGCAATACTTTAACAAAAATAAAATAATAATTAAGATACCAATATTTTCAAATTAGTACGATATGCGATAATAATATTTTTGAGTGCACTATTAAGTAAGAGCTGCTTAAATATTAATTAATTATTTTGATAAAATATATAAAACTGTTCCATACTCTTGCTTTATAACAATTTTTCTAAAAATTCTATATTTTATAAATTGCTGAAACAAGTAAAATACATTTATTGATTCTGCGTTTAATCATATCAAGATGATATTCTGTATTTATCTAAATAAAATTAATTCATACATATAATCAAACTTTCTTTTCAAATTACGAGAGAATTGTTAACATGTAGACGTACGTCTGTACGTATTATAATAATAATTTACATTATAATAATAATTTATATATTATAATAATATAATTATAAATTATTATAATAATATAATAATATATTATTTATAATAATTTATAATAATATTTCTCTCTCTCTTTCCCTCTCTCTCTCTCTCTCTCTCTCTCTCTTTCTTTCTCTCTCTTCAGAATTAACGTTATATAATTAACATTATATATTTGATATAAATTTAGTACATCAGAATTCCATATATTTTCTCTCTCTCTCTCTCTCTCTCTCTCTCTCTCTCTCTCTCTCTCAGTTTTCAAGTTTCTTGATGAATTAGAAGGTGGTTTCACTTCACGAGAACATTTGCCAATGATATAAATTCTACGTTTATGATGTAGGAAATTAAGCAGATTCACAAATCAATTTGCAGTAATTTCAAAGCAAATTTCACTTTATAGATGTTTTATTGAAAATCTTAATGATAGATGTAATTTAATATTAAAACAAATAACAAATTATGTGCAATATATAATGTTTTATAATTAAATATTTAAAAAATTTTAAATATATACAGGGTAGTGCAAAAGTACTTAATGGAAAGATACTTAATTATAGTGTTTTGGAAAGCTCTCAAGATAAGCTACAAGAATATGCAATAAAAAATAGTAGGTTCCATTTAAGAAATTGAAAGTGACCTTTATGTAACCTTCAAATGACTATCCAAGGTCAAATTTTTGCCACCATCTTCTGTCCCCCTCGAAGTCAAGCAACTTTTATTTGAAACATTTTGTTGCACATTCAAAAATAAAAGTTATTGGGGGTGAGTAACTTAAAATGGCTCATCCTGTATATATATATATATATATATATATGTATATGTATATGTATATGTATATGTATATATATATATGTAAATTATTATAATTGAGAGAAAATGGCAGAAATTTCTGATTTACTTTCTATACAAAATTTTTGCGTCAAATTTGATTTTGTAGATTGTTATTTTTTAGGATGATAATATATGATTGTATTTAGAAAGATAATGGATGAGCACAAATTGAATGTGATTAATTTAGATTTATATTCTTAGGTCCAAAATGTTCGCAAATGTGTATTCAATTGAACCTTCTATCGAATACGTGCATTATAGATTACAGCAAAGTCGGCATAATATTTTAATATATAACAGATATACTAATATCTTCTATTATATTTGATATTGGACGTAACTATAATATTTCTATAATATTTCTCGTGAATGTATTTTTTCCAGTATTGAATTTCAAGATTCTTATATAACATATAGAGCTCTATGTGTATATCAAACATTAATTAATTTTATTAATATTTTATTGTTTCTTATATAAAAGGATGAAGTACAATATCGATAAAAATTTTATAATATTAACAAATTTTCAATACATAATTTAATTTCAATAGTATTAAAAAATTAATCAAATATAAAATGATGTAACAATAATAATATAATAAGTTTTTCTTGTATAGATAAAAATTTTTGTAAAGTGTTTCTTTTTCTTCTTCTCTATAATAAAATATCTTTGGTAATTATAATAATGAATAATTTAGTGATTATAAAAATTTATGCGTTAATCATCTTTATTAAAAAATACTTGCTAATAAAAAAAGATGATGTTAAAAATAACACAGCTAACAACATTACAATTTTTTGAGTTGACTGTGTGCTCGTTAAATTATTATTAGCTTAACAGTGAAAACACCAACCATCTATATATACATATCTATATTTATTTAAGTCAGACTTTTCTTTTTTATTCCGTTAAAAAACAAGATGCAGTTAATCCTAAAAATTCCTAAAATATTTTTTATATGAGCATTTCTACAACAATTGCATAGAAGCTTCTAATATTTCATATAGATTTGCTATTTTACGATATTATTTCGATAATTTCTCACAAACGTACTTCATATTTAAATTATCCATATTCTCGTGTTAAAAAGTATTTCTTCTCAGATGCCTGCATCATAGAAATATCTATTATAATATCTACTATATTTGCTTATAACAAAATGCATCAAGTTAAAATGCAAATTAATTCTAATTTATATATAAAAATTACAACTTTTCATTTTTGTGCCGATGATTTAATAACATTTCGCTCCCATTGTTGGGTTTTACCACTGATTACCACTGATGAAATAACAAATTTTTGATTCCTAAAATATAACAAAACAATTTCAATGCTAATTGTTATTAAAAAGCGAGACATAGTGAGAAAAATTACTAAAAATAATTCACTATTTGCATAATAGTTTATGTTTTCTATGCTTGCTATTTTTAATTCTCTTTTGCCTACATATTTGCTCAATCGAATTTTTAAATTAAATATAAATAACTACTAGATTAAAATATTTAGGAACAGAAGATTGCGGTTTTTTCATTTTTCCCACGCATTCCTTAATTCTTGGAAGAATTACTTCTACTTACTATATATATAATCGAGGAACTAAAATTATATATCATGATCTCGTCACAGTGAATATCTAATACAATTATTGTACTCTAATCTCGTTTGGACTTGTGAATCGCATCTAATCTAACGCTGACATAACATTCAGTGAACATTTAATTAACAATTATTTCATAGCCACTGCTACAAAATCTTTTTAAATAGTCTATCATTTTAATTATTTAATTTTGATAAATTATCTATATGATTGCACATGTACGATCATGAAAATATCGGGATAGTAGAACAACGAAAAGAGTTGGAGCATATATCGAGGGACAAGAGAAAATCCAGTTCATTTGCTCGATTCATTGATCCATGTTTAATCCTTTAATGGATTGTGCTTAATAAATTATATCATTATATGAAAAATATTCATTAAAATTAATAATAAAGTATATAATTATAAGATATAATTACTTTGATAAAGATTGCTCAAAAATTCAATTCTAGTTTTGTAAGATGATATAAAATAAAAAATTAAAAAAAGTCGTAAGACAAAGTGACAAGATAAAATGTTTTAAATCAGTATGGCTTACAGAAAGTCAAACGTAACTTTCTTGCTTTTTCTTCACGATACTTCCGGTCACAACAGCTGTAAGTAAAGGCAATTTAATCTGTTTGTCTGTAGTTGCTTGATCATTGCATGGTACTTTAACGTTGCAGCTCTTGTTGCTACTATGTCTTCGCCAAAAATCCGAGTGGTTGCTACTACAATTGGTCGATCCGGTTGTATAAGTGCCCGTACGTTCTGATGTTTTCTTCTTTTTCCGTCTAGTAAGTCCCAAGCCGCATAGCTTGAGAAAAGCTTCTCTGAATTTCGTGGACATCAAGTTATAAAGAATTGGATTTATTGCCGAATTTAAATAGAGCATTACTCGACAAAAGTATAGGAGGCTGTAGTAGCCTTCTATGCCGAGTGAAACGATCGTCTTGGGTGGCGCAATGATAACCAAGAGAGTAAATACTCGAAACGGCAACAAACACAAAAAGAAAGAGAGGACCACCGTAGCTAACATCAGGACTACCTGCTTGCGATATTTAAGCAGGTTGTTCGCCGGTCCACGGCTTATTGTCGGATTCGCCATCAAATGTCTCGCAATCACTGTGTACAAGACTATAAGGATCAGCAAAGGAATCACGAAGAATACCACGATCGTCGTTAGAATGAAGCCCGTCATCCATGTCGTCGAAGCTGGGGTTGTACAAGTTGGAGTAAATGTTCCATCGATGTTCTCCTCCATCTCGTAGGTTACCATTAGCAAAATGGGACTAAAATGTGTTAAAAGAGATAGAGATCGATTACTGTCGCGCACACGTGTCGCGTATATAACGAAGCTTTTAGTAAATTATCATAATGTTGCGTACCATGCAGCGTTAAGTCTTTCTAAAATACGATACCTTATAAAAATAAAAATAAAAATTTCTCTACAGTATATAAGTATAGTTATGTAAAGTATATATACAATATGAATAATTTATGACATTTAAAAATAAAATCAAACCTCCGGAAAAAGGAAAATAAGGTCAGTTGACAATCACGAAAAAATATTAACGAAAATTTTCCATTTATTTTCGCATTTTAAAAATATCAATATAAGAAATATTCATGTGACATTTAGTTATTATATTCAGATTCGCGCTCGCGTGTATAATAATCGCTTGCAATATTGATAACTGATAACGAAATCACACTTATACTCACATACGAGGATCGTTTGATAAGTTTGGTAAAAAATAAAACACGTTATTTTTGAAAAAAATTTATGTAATTTCTTAATATAGTCTCCATCGAAGTCTATACACTTAGTCCATCAAATTTCCAATTTTTTAATACCTTCGGAAAAGTAGGCTGATGAGGCGTCATCAAATGGATTGTGACGTAATTTCACGAAAATTTACCAAACTTATCGAATGACCCACGTATACTAGAAATTTTTCAAACTTATTCACTCAAATCATTCATTCGATTCTCATATATAACTTTCGCAAAAATCTACAAAGTTTAATATTTCAAAAGTTTTCTTCACGTTAGTTCCATTCCATATAGTATAGAGGTTCTCCTTCTTTCATTCAGTCTTAAGTTACTTCCAGTGATTTATCAGAAGTACGAATAAAAGTTATAATTTTTAATGTTATTATACTCTTTTGTTATAAATATAATTTTCCGATGTTTCCTACGTTCGTTTATTTTATATATATATATATAATTTTTCAATGCTTTCACATATCCCTTTCGATCATTTTTATAAATATAACTTTCTGATAGTTCTATATATTTCTTTTTATAATAAATATTTTTAATACTTTCATATCGTTTTATTGTAAGCATAATTTTTCAATATTTCCATGTTCTGTTTTATAATATAAACATATTATTGTTTTTTAGAATTTAAAAATGTCAATGCTAATATTTTGTTTGATATTAACTGACATTTTCATTAATACGTCATTAATTTTTTATATACATAGATGTATTTTTTGCATCGCATTGGCAAGTCATAATATTGTATTTCTTGCTATATTTCACAAAAAGTTTTCCTCCTGATTTAGATCCTCCTGCTGATTCGCCGTGATTCTCCTCGCGCTGACAATCGTACTCCTCAGATGCGTGCCTCTCTTGCCCGCAAAACCGCACAGTTTCAGGAAACCTCGTCTGAATTTACTGCTCATCAGATTATACAATATCGGATTGCCGGCGCTGTTCAAATAAAACATGATCCTGCAGAAATTGAGCAGGCCGAAAAACGTGTCATAATCGATCGCGGCTATCTCTTCGACGGGTGCTATCACAATGTAGAAGATGAGGAGTCGGTAGGGTGACAGACACACGAAGAAACTTATGACTATGGTCAGCAACATATACACCACCTGTCTCCTGGCACGGCTATGATACGAATCGCTGGTGTTACCGGATGAATCGCGAATAAGATGATTCACGATGAATGAATATAATACCACGAGTATCACGAACGGCGCTACAAAGAATAGCAACACCAATAGCAGGAAGAACGTGACACTGGCGATAGTGTTGGCCTGTGTCAGGCACACCGGCACGCGATTCACCTGATCCGCCACCTGCTGATCGTTCCCAACGTCAGTGACGACGACTTGTGTGACGCTGTGATTTGTCATCCTCATTTCGCGATACTGCGATACCCAGACCATCGGACTGCAATCGAGAAAGAAAAAACCAAGAACATACTTTATTTCGTATTTATTTCTCTTATAATGAGACCGCGACTTCGATGCGCCAATTCGCGATGACAAGCGGACAGAAGAAGGAGGCAGAGAAGCGAGACGAAAGTTTAATCGATCGTTCAATGATTCGAGAACAACCCGGTAGAAATACCCCTCTGGAAGATGGATCGAGAACACGACATTAAATTGATGAGATAAAGACAGATTGCAGTTTGTGATATGTTGATACATCGCTTACTAAGCTAAGACGTGTGCTTAAGTGGCTTACTTCCCCAAAACTACTTAAACGTGTCTTAACTTGGTAAAGATAGATGTTCTTGACAAACTTTAAGAATTATTTTATTCACTTAATTAGATAATTATACATATTTGATTGGTCAACATAATATTTATGAAGATATCTCGCAAGATTATATATTAACCAATCTAATAAATTATATCAGAAAAATTATATTGCCTTAAGTAAATTTAAAGAGAAGGAAGGAACACAAAGTTTCTAAAATTTTGTCTCACAGATTAAATTTAAAGGAGAAATGTTTGATATTATTTTTTCATTTATTTAAAAAATAATTATTATACTAATTTATAATGGAAATTTTTAAATGTTTATTTTGTGGTTTAAATCTTCAAATTTTAATGGAACCTCGCCAAAATGTCATGTCGAATATTGTACTGATATAATTCCATTCAAAGTAATTTTTCAGTATGTAACAAGATTTATTTTTTATTCAATGATTTTAGAAATATACTTTTAATATACTTTTAATATAGAATTGATTCATAAAAGTTCAATTTATTAAATGCAACTATGAACAAACTTTCTAAATAGGCCTAATTATTATAATAAAGTTGCTATAATTGCAGATTGTGTCTGTATGTCGTATAAAAAATTATTACGAGAACAATCATTAAAATCGCTTAGCGTTAATATAAAATATATCGCTGCGTATGAGAAATGAAAATTTTCTTGTCGGAAGAATCATAATTAAATCTATATCTATATCGTTATTTAAGTTTACATTTATCATCATCCAAATTTATATAATATCATTTTGATTGTTGTAATAATGCCTCTTTTATGGACATAAATTTTACGAGTGCATATATGAAAGACAGAATGCTCCTCATCCGACTTTAATCTTGCACAATTATAATCTTTTTCTAAAAAAAACTTTACAATTTTAAGAAGAATTTAAAATAAAAATGTAAGAAAAATATTAGAAAGAAATTGTAATTTTTCTTTTTACACATTTTTTTATAATAAAAGATGCAGAAGAAAAATGGATATGGTCAAATTGATCCGATGAGCGTACTTAAAGATTAATGTCTAAGCATTATTAACGAACTGCGCTTAACTCCAAAATTAGGTCAAGTTCCTCAGATAATTCTTTTTTATATTTTTTATGAAAGTCGTTTATTTAGCATATTTATTATAAAAAAGAGAATAAAAATTATTAATATAAATTTTTTATTTAAAATTGAGACACAAGAGTGCTAATAATAGTCAATCATGAATCTTTGTCGCGATAATTAATGTAACATTTCCTATAGAAAATGTATAGCATACTAAATCTATTTTTTCTACAAATCCTATGTGAGAATAGATGTTAAATGGATACTAAAATAATTTTAAAATAAATTTTATTCAAACATAGAAAAAGCAAACAAAATAGAAAAATTATCAATCTGCTACGAGTACAGGCAAAGAAAAATGTTATACGATTATTGTACCTTCCCACGCCATGAAATAGAATATCGTATTTTCCTTTTGTTCGGACACTTTACACGAGGGTATTACAAGTCGAGCTCAATTTTCGCGCACAGACGGGATAGTATCGGATTTCCTCGAGTGCTTGATAAAATGTGATTTCGATAATTGCATACTTCCATTTATTTCGACGCACTTTCGCATGCCTGCATAAAAAAAAGTGATGGTCTTTTTAATCCTTAAATAAAAAGTGCCAGAATATTACATTACGGTTTTTAATTCATCCATTTGAATCTATTGATAATATTGATAATTTTTCATTCACTAAGAAAAATGAGAGAAATGTCCAATAAAAAGGTAACGAACGGATATTATACCGATCACTTTAATCGGATATTTGATCGGAAAATTCCAAATTTTGAACTTTTTGATCAGATATCCGATCGATCGATATTTTCTGATTGGATATCTGATCGATTTCTTTTTTTTCCGATTAAAGTGATCGGTATAATATCCGTTCATTACCTTTTCATCGGACATTTCTCTCATTTTTACCTTTCCATCGGTTTTTTTTCTCAGTGTTACAATTTAGAATAGATAACTTAATAAATATAATATAAATAATTATCAACAAAAGACATAAAAATATTATAGCTTTTGCTTTTATAGAATTTATCGGGCTATTTAAATCGCGCTATTTTATAAAACGTAACATTGTATTGAAAACCTACATTTGTCAACAACATGACGAAATCTTTAATTAATGATAATTAATTTGCAAAATACGGACTTAATAAAATCGAGGATCAACGAAAACTCTGAGTGATTTCAAAATAGTTATATATATTATCTTGTCGAGATGCTATTGCTTCGCATAGCAAGATAAAATTGAGAGACACGATCTATCACTGAAATGCGTCGTTATTCGCATTCAATAAAGTGAATATATCCTACTGTGACTTTACAGAATTTTCCGACAGAGAAATTTAGTTGCCTTGTTCTCGAATTTTTGCAAGGTTTTATGGAATTCTCAATTATCATAAGAAAAAGAAATGTCAAGATGTTGAGAACTTCATGTTCAGAAGATTACATTCTACAAATCTGTTATAAAAGTGAAAAAGAAAAATATATGGAAATATATTATCTGTCTAAAACCCGCATTTTAGGCGATTAATTTTGCAAAAAAGTTCACAATAAAAATCTATTTATAATTTTATATTGCATTATTTTAATATATTCTGATATGATTTTGTTTATATAAGTATTTCTTTCAAAACGTGTTTTTTACAACATATAAAATCTTATAAATTCTTATATATTCTTATATATTTTGTATAATACATGAAATTATAAATAAAATTTT